TGATGCTCCGTAGCGGTGTGACGCACCCGGAGAGGAGGCGCTGCGGAGCGTACAATCCCCCGCTCTTTATTCTGTAGAACATCATGCTAACCTGCTAGCGTGCTAGCTGACAACATGACCGCGCAGGGCCTGTTGACAGGCGGCCTCTCTCCAGACACACAGCGGGGAGACCCGCAGAGCACAGGTGGAGGGGGATCCGTACGCCCGGGTGAAGCCGATTTCATTCCGGAGCGGAACCTCCGACTGACGGCCTGACAAGAGCCGCCTATTAACGTCGTGGGGCCGTGGGCAGCCAGGGAGGGCGGTGCTGGTCTGACGGCTGCTGATAAACAGTACCAAACGTCGACAGTTGCTAAACAGTAATCAATACTACAAACAATATTGTAACTGTTTGGACACGGGAATAATCAGCAGATAATCGATAATGAAGGTAAAGGGCCGCTGTGCTGAAAGTAAACAGTCCCGGGCTCTGGGCCCCCGGGAGAACATCGGGTCACAGCACTGCAGGTATTGAGATCAACACAAAACTAATGTGTAGCTGCTCCGATAATCAGTTAATTGATTGTTTTTAGTTTTCAAACACAACTAATAAGGAAACGTTTAAGCTTCTGTGCGTTTCTTTAGCATAAATTATAAAGTATTTGCTATTGTTGGGCAACACAAGGACAGTTGTGAGGGAATATTTTCACAAGATGTGTTCATCAATGGATTAATCAAAAAAAAAATTGAAGACTAATCCATAATAAGAACCGAAAAGACTAAATCGGGACCCTTTGCAGAAACCTGGTTTGGACCTGATGTGAACAAACGGAGCTAGAATTTATTACACGACTTTAAATTCAGAGGTGTGACGACAAAGCATCACATATTGAAAACTGTTAAAACAAGTTTTAATAGCATCTGAACTCAGATCAGCTGTTAGTTCGTCTTGTTTCAGCTTTAAACTGTGTTTGTGTAATGAGTGCTGAAAATGAACATTGGTTAAGCTGCAACATGACATAAAACTGACAAAGATTGTTGGTGAGTGAAGACGCATCACTCTGTCACATCTCTGCACAACCACCAGTGAAGTGTGTTTTTGTAGTTCAGCAGAGTGGAGACATCTCACTAGAGGAATGACCCATCCACTTATGCTGTGGGGGGGTTGTAAGGGTACTGGAGCCAGTCCCAGCTGAGGCAGGGTACACCTAGCCAGGTGGCCATCCTGTCACAGGGCTGACACACAGACAGTTTAGCCTCACCAGTCAACCTGACCTGCATGTCTCTGGACTGTGGGAGGAAGCTGGAGAAACATGGGAGAACATGCACTCCACACAGAGGTCGGCTGCCAGATTCGAACCTGGAACCTTCTTACTGTGAGGTGACAGTGTGACACTGCACCACCACCCATCATCAGCTGATTGTAAATATAACTGAGTCCTAGTTCTACTGCTTCTATTGCTTCAGATCAATATGTGGAGTGATGAATCTGGAGCTTTATTATTAATAGTTGATGTGTTCCAGCTGTTGTTTTATTATCAATCAGTGATCAGTGCTTCACATCATCTGCTGGTTGGAGCTAAAGGTTGTCAACATTATTTACCTTCATTAATGTTTATTCATTTAAAAACTTTGGCATTTCTGCTACTGGACCAGCAGTAGCTGATCTCAGATCAGAAGTGAGACCTGAACTACAGACCAGAGACCAGTTCCTCTCTCTACCAAATCCAGCAGACAGAAAGGTTGTTGAGTTGATGGCACATCAGGAGTTTTTCAGTTTCCATTAATGAAAAGTGTCTTGCTGAGTAACACTTGTCACAGGTTCTGCGTGGCGGCTCTCGTGCTGTAGCTAGCGGAAAGTTCCTAAACTGTGCATCCTGGCAACCTTATTCAAAATATTCAGTTAAACAACAAAAATGCAAGTTCATTCGGGTAGATTGGGCCGGTAGGTGGGCCTCTTTGTCACTGCGGACCTAGGGCGGCTGCAAAAACTCTGACAGACCCCGGCTTTTGGTGGACGGCTTCTGCCTCAACTGGTTGGGGTGAGTAGATAGAGGAGAGAGAACAGAAAAGGATCAAGAGTTAGACAGGACTGCCCCCTCTCTGTCCAACTCTGTAGTGTGGCTATAGACCCCCCTCTTCCACAGACTGAAGTTTACACAGAGTGGGTTGATCCAGAGCCAGGACAGTGTCAGTGTCCAGAGTGTAGTCTGTTGTCTGGGTGAAGCAGATGGACTGGAGGCAGAATGAGGTGGTGTTAGTGGGTCAGGTGGTGGTTTGATGTGGGGTGAGTTGGGTTTAATGTCCTGGGAGTTACTTAGGGGCAGAAGAGTTTCTGTAAAGAGCTTTGCAGAAGTTAACTGTGCTGCTACACCAGCCTTTATATTGTAACGGACACGTTTTGTTAGTCACTGACGATGTTGCCTCAACTTGTGATGTTAGCATCACCACCTGGTCTACCTGGCCTTTTAGACGAGGTCCAATTATCTTCAGGTATATTCGGGTCGGGTCTGGCGGAGCTTGGGTCCTCCTTGGGTCGCGTCTCTAGTTTTTGAAAATGAATTTATGCACATTGGGTTCAGGCCTGTTTTGGTTTGGGTCTAATGTTTTGGGCCCCTGAAGAATCCTAGTGTGCACTTGGTGCAAGGCTCATGCTCATGTATGTTTGTATGTGGTTTTTGTTTTGTATCTTTGTGAAAATGGACAACTTCAGTTTGAAAACTGATTCATTTATATAATTTATAAAGATTCCTCTTGTCTTTCTTTCCACCTGTCTGTCTCTTAGGTGTGGTTGTGGTGATGAGCAGCAGTGAGTGTTTTGGTTGCGGCCGCAGTGGCCACTGGGTGAAGAACTGTCCGAGCGCTGGCCGAGGACGAGGGAAGGGTCGCGGCAGAGGCAAAGGTGACTTGTTCACAAACATATTAACGTATCAGTACACAATATACATACTCTATCTACTGTAACTATATACTATATACCACGCACATGTATGTAATATGCAGCCCTGACGGTGCCTGGCCTTCAGAATAAAAGTCCTCATAAATACTTGTGAGGTACTTAGCTCAGAAACCTGTTTGTTCCATCACTCTCGTCGACATCACTGTGCAGGACGATGTACACGTGAAATGAAAACTCCTGAATCACTGAGTGGTCTCCTCCAGGGTGACAGTGCCCCCACCCACAGGGTGTCAGGGGTCACCTTTTGGTCTGATGAGGATGACCATGATGTGAATCATACACTGTGGCCGTCACAGTCACCAGGGCCCAGCCCGCTTGAACAGCTATGGAGGATGTTGGAGCGATGTGTTAGACGGTTCTCTACCACCGTCATCAAAACACCACGAGGAAATATTTGTTGGAAGAACGGTGCTCATCCCTCCAGGAGAGTCCAGAGACGTGGAGAGTCAAGGTGGAGCTGTTCTGGTGGCACGTGGCAGCTCAGCACCTCACTGAGAGTCTCTGTGTTGGGTCGTCCTTTCACCTGTCACCTGTCTGTATGTTGTTTGATTTTGTATCTGTTGAACGAGCAAAATTTCTCTTTGCTCACCAGTTGTTTAAGACTTGGAAGTACATGCAGGACTTATGACATCACAACTAGTTCTGAGCCATTTGGGGTCTGGTATGAACCTGACACAGGACTGGTCAAATTTGTAAGTTGTCAGTCCTCTATTGTTTTGTGTTCTTTGCTTGTTTTTGTTTTACATTTAGCAGGAGAAAAGACAAAAAGTGTTAATTTTCTCAAGCTTGAAAATATTTCAGATTTTCTATTTTGTCTGTATCACTCTAACATTTGTTTGCCCTGATTGTCATGTTTCAGATCTGTTCTGTTACCGCTGTGGCGAGCTTGGACACGTCGCCAGAGACTGCGAGAGGACCGAGGATGGTGAGGCTACACTTGCACACTGTGTTCATTTCCTACCTGATGTTCAGTCGCATACAGATGTCACCTGCTGGAACATTTTTGAGAGTAAACAACCAAACATCCTCATAGCGTCTGAAAAGGTCTTTTCATACATGAAACAGTTTTTGTCAGAAATGTAGTCCTGTGTTAGGCAAACATTGTTCTGGACTAGAGGAGGTTTTGGTCCAGGTCTAAGTGTAAAACACCAGTAAGACAGGTTTAATGGTACAGAACATATCATCATGAAAATGGTTCAGTGTTTATCAAAACACGACAGGAAAGGCTGTGTGAAGCCAGAAATAGGATTAAAAAAGAAATAAAAAGAGAACATTTAAAAAAGATAAAAATGATCTATAATAAAAGAAGTCCAATTAAACAAAAGAATACGAATTACACTGCAGTAATTCATGAGTGCCACATTTATTTTAATTAAAAGCAAACAAAAGCTTCATCCCTGATTTGAAATGTTTAAGAATTAGAGCAGACCGAGCTGCACTGAGCTCTGCACAGCTCAGGACAGAGCAGCACCTATATGCCCTATATGTCACGTTGTCTTAATATGTTTTATTTATTACTATTTAATCCTCTTCAATTTATATATAAAAAAAACCTGATCAATTTCAAAAATATTTTAAGATCAGAAATAAAAAGAAATTAGGCACTTACATCCAAAAGCATTAGGAAAATAATACTTTTACAGGTATTTGCGGCCCAGTACCGGCCAACCTGCAGCCTGGTACAGGTCCAGGGACCATAGTTTGGGAACCTGTGGTCCAATGCACCTGCCATGCTCACCTGATGATCTGATCATCTGATCTGCAGAATTACAGTCAGGTATTTACTCTTCTATAATGTAAGAGAGAAATAGAAAAGGCCCCAGGATGGAGTCTGGGGGACTCGTGTCATTTTTGTGTGCTTTGATGTGTAATTACTGATCAACACAAGACATTCCCTCCTTTAGTAAGTTCTGATTTTTATCTAAAGCTGATAAAGTAGACGACCGCAAATGGAAGTGTAGAACCAGACTCAGGTGTATTTACCTGCTGTCGTCCCTGCAGCCTGCTATAACTGTGGAAGAGGAGGTCACATCTCCAGAGACTGCAAGGAGCCAAAGAAAGAGCGGGAGCAGCTGTGCTACAACTGCGGAAAGGCCGGACACATGGCGCGGGACTGTAACCACGCCCACGAGCAGAAGTGCTACTCCTGTGGTGGCTTTGGACACATCCAGAAGTGCTGTGAGAAGGTCAAATGCTACAGGTAGAGTACCTACTACAGGTAATCTGATGCTGCTGGTAAACTACCTGACAGAGGTAAACTAATATCTACAGGTAAACCAGTATGAGCAGTCTAACAGTATATGTTTTCTGCAGGTGTGGGGAGATTGGCCATGTCGCGGTGCACTGCAGTAAGGCATCGGAGTTGAACTGCTATAACTGTGGGAAGTCGGGTCACCTGGCCAAGGAATGCACTATCGAAGCCACTGCCTAGTGGACACCCATTCCTGAACCCCCCTCTTTGCCCTCTTTCATCTCTTCTTTCTTTCTCTTTATTGGTTCCCTTGATCCTCTACTCCCTGGTCCAGAGGCCAGTCAGTCAGCCTCGCATCAGCCAGTAAAGGTGGGCAGAGGGCGGAGGAGGGTGGACACTAAACAACAAAACTGTCCTTTGCTTTCCTAAAAACAAAAACAGAATCTGTTTTTAGTTTGGTAGCGCTGTCATTACATACAAAGCTTTGTTTTAAGAATATTTTCTGCCCAGTTGATTGACGGAGAGAGTAGATCAATAGAAAGAAAAAGGTTAAATCCCTCCATTCAGTATGAAAATGGGCAGGGCTGTGTCTGAGGAAAAATAATTAACATACGTTTTTATCTTCCAACAATTTTGTTTTCTTTTTCTGGAAAAAAAAGAGATGGTCTGAAAGAAGAGCGATTGGTCCCACCTCCAGCAAACAACCAGTCACCGCGTAAGATGAATGAGCCAATCAGGGCGGTCACAGCAGACAGCAAATGGAACAATTATTCATGTTTTAAAGGTGCATTTTGTTGTCATTTGTTTGGACTTGACAAAGTGACACACAGACAAAAACTAACAACAATAATAAAACTTAAGTTTGGGGAGAGAAGAATGTTAAAAAAAAAATCCAAATCTTATTTTTGTACAATTTATCACTTAGAGCTACTGTAAAAATGTCATTTGGTTGTACTGCAGACAGTGAGTTTAACCCGATAATAAAAACATGGAGGAGGAGGAAGAGAACAGAGCTGAGATCCATTTCTGCCTGATCAGTTTGTTTCACAACAACAACACAAATATACCAGAAATACAGAGTTAGTAGCAATTACATAGACAAAAAGGCTCATTTCTGTCAAGAAGAGGCAGGTTTATTTGTATAACAGCAAACCAAAGTGTTCTACATACAGTAAGGCATAAAAGATATGTTTACTTTATAAAAAGACATGAGTATAATTTGAATTAAAAGGCTTGATGAGCACGATATTACATTAAAAGTATGAGGTAAATTAAGTTTGACTTAAGTAAGAATTTTAAGATGTTAATTCAAAATTAGTTTTAAAGTTTAACTTGTTATTTTTACCTTTTATTAAAATTAGGTACATATGAATTAATTACATATAGTTTATTTGTGGAACATATATTTCTGAAATAGTTCACATTTCATATAACTGAAAACCAAGTGTCTGTTTCCCCTATATTTAGTGCTAAATTAAATAGTTCCTTCTTTCGTAAGAAATTATTCAAATGTTAGTCACAAAGAATAAAGCATTTACATAATGCGTGTTTGTCATCTTTATGACTTAGACTAAAGTTGTTTTTTGTGTTAGACCTAAATGAATCTTAGAAATGTGAATAAAAGAGGACAAAGGATCGAGCCCTGGGGAACTCCATGTTAAGGCTGATCCACTCGGATGCAGTTTCAGACAAATTAGTGCTTCTGATAAAATGATCTCACTTCTTAGCTGTTCTGGAGCTTTCAGCCATATCACATGATCTCCTTAAGCAGAGTGAGTATGGTCAGCCATGGAAATAAAGGCAACTGAACTTTTCATGATACTTGTCCACATGGACTTAAAAGTTGTCAACATGTTAAGTGAAATTATGCATAAGATAAAAGACTATTCTTTCTTATTTTATTATTTATATGGGTATATTTTAGATTTATAGCATTCTTTTTATATTTATTGCAATTCATTTTATTTTTGATTTTACTTTGACTTAATTTTAACCTTTAAATTTAAAAACGTATTACTTTTAAATGTTATTTTATTTTTATAAATGTAGCAAAGGCAGATGATGACAGTAAAGAGAAATGGCAAGGGTCAGTACTATTACAGTAATCAAAGGAAAGTAGGAGGAATTAGAGAAAGTACTAGGAATAGGGAAGTAGAAGATATAATTTCAAGAATGATGTTTGGTCATACTGGTTTGAATAGTACATTACAGTTGATGAAGAAGCATAATACTGGTGAATGTGAGCTTTGTAGGGTGCAGGAAACTGGAACATGTTCTTTTGAGTTGTCCAAGGTTCAGGCAGGAAAGGGGAGTTATTTCAACGTGCACTTCAAAGAGGTGGCATGAGGTTTAGTTTAACAGATTTGTTGCAAAAGAGCTCAGGGGGTGTAGGGTAGAGAGCGCTCTTTAGGTTTTTAGAGAGTACCAGAGTGAGTAAAATATGGTATTCACTGAATGAGTTTATTTTATTTTAGTAGTAGATAGGGGCCGTTCTGATCCGCACTCCTGTCTGGAAGGTGGCGGTAATGCAACAAACAACAAAAGAAGAAGAAGAAGAAGAAAACTGATAACACCGGGATGTCTATTCTCCTCCTGCAGGGGGCAGTAGCGTTTAGAGCGGTACGTGGTCTGGTAACCGGAAACAAGAAGCCGATGAAGTACTTCCGTTTGGTGTCGGCGTGAGCCGATAACTAAGAACTTTATTTTTTCAATTTCCCGCTGGAGTCTTCATGAATAAAACCACATAAAAATCAGCAGCAGAGATGGTGAGCAGACCATCACTGTTCCAGTCTTACTGTTTGTTGTTTTATCGCAGCTAGTTAGCATGCTCACCGGTTAGCCATAGTTTAGCTTGTTGGCTTTAGCTGGTGGCTAACGGGTCCACTTAGCAACGCTTGTGAATGTCTGGGACATAAAAGTTTTTTTTGAGTCTTATCGAAACGCTTAACGTAATAAACTCTGTAACAAACAGGTCGGGATATATAACTAACAAATCCAAGGACTTCAGTGTTGTATGTTCACTCAGTCACACAGTCCGTGATAGAGTCACGGATTTTGAACAGAGTCTGGCGTGAGCTGGGTGCCTTGGCCCTTTCCTAGTGATGGAAGGGTGAAGCATCGAAGCTTTCCAGCAAAAAGTGGTTCATGTGTCGAAGCTTCAAGTGCCTACGAATCCACCTTGTGGTGAAAAGAATGTAGTACAGAAATTTGTACAAATAGACTGAAGCAGCGCGAGTCACCCTTACAAAGTCAGAAACTTGTTTGTTCCAAAGTGTTGATTCGTCATATGCACAGTTAGGAAACGTGTTTCCCTGTACAATGAAATTCTTACTTTGCCGTCCACATGAATGCCACAAAATACAAATGAAATATAAAGTAGATAAATAAGTAACACAAAGTCTAAGGAACTTTAAGCAGCGATATAATAAAATATATAAGAATACAATAAGAGAACGTATGCTGCATGGGAGCAGCATGTGCAGCAGTCAACAGTCAATGTGCAAACTGAGAATGTAAACAGTACATGATGTATTTCCTGGTGATAAACTCCTCAGCTGCTTAGGAGTCTGATGGCAGAGGGAAAGAAAGAGTTTTTAAGTCCGGAGGTCCTACATTTCACACTTCTGAACCTCCGACCAGAGGGTAGGGAGGTGAACAGTCCGTGCTGGGGGTGGGTGGGATCTTTGAGGTTTGTTATAGGTTAAAGACTGAGAGCATTTCTTCAAAATATGAAACAAATCCCATGTAATTTGTAGTATTACCTTTCTCAGTGTGAATTATTGACTTCACATGACACAGGACTACCTGAGGTGGTAGGCTACAGGTGAAGGACAGAGACTGCAGTCTCAGAAAGTCAATTTCAGACCCTAGTCCTGGTCAAGACAAACGGCAACGTAAAACAGATAAACATCAGTTACAAGTGGTGCAAATTGTGATGCACTACATGAAAATACTCCCATGTGATGTGAATCTGTCTTTCTGCCTTCATCTTCCAAATCAGTCTTTACAAATTGCCCTATAAAATAGGCTATATGTATCTTAAAAACCCATAAAATCTTCAGCTTTCACTCTGTGAGTAAGATGTTGCATGAGATCTGCGGGTGACCAGAAACACTAAGGATAAGAGGATCATTGCAAATGTTCAGTCTGCTGTCCAGGATTCACAGTGGGGTTGGTCCCTAGTGGTGAAACTGCCAAAATTTAAAACATTTTATGAAACAGTCATGTGCCTTGGCCACTTTGATACAAGCCTCAAAGCACAGGTTCTACAGTGCCTTGTGAAAGTATTCGGCCCCCTTGAACTTTGCGACCTTTTGCCACATTTCAGGCTTCAAACATAAAGATATAAAACTGTAATTTTTTGTGAAGAATCAACAACAAGTGGGACACAATCATGAAGTGGAACGAAATTTATTGGATATTTCAAACTTTTTTAACAAATAAAAAACTGAAAAATTGGGCGTGAAAAATTATTCAGCCCCTTTACTTTCAGTGCAGCAAACTCTCTCCAGAAGTTCAGTGAGGATCTCTGAATGATCCAATGTTGACCTAAATGACTAATGATGATAAATAGAATCCACCTGTGTGTAATCAAGTCTCCGTATAAATGCACCTGCACTGTGATAGTCTCAGAGGTCTGTTTAAAGCGCAGAGAGCATCATGAAGAACAAGGAACACACCAGGCAGGTCCGAGATACTGTTGTGGAGAAGTTTAAAGCCGGATTTGGATACAAAAAGATTTCCCAAGCTTTAAACATCCCAAGGAGCACTGTGCAAGCGATAATATTGAAATGGAAGGAGTATCAGACCACTGCAAATCTACCAAGACCTGGCCGTCCCTCTAAACTTTCAGCTCATACAAGGAGAAGACTGATCAGAGATGCAGCCAAGAGGCCCATGATCACTCTGGATGAACTGCAGAGATCTACAGCTGAGGTGGGAGACTCTGTCCATAGGACAACAATCAGTCGTATACTGCACAAATCTGGCCTTTATGGAAGAGTGGCAAGAAGAAAGCCATTTCTTAAAGATATCCATAAAAAGTGTCGTTTAAAGTTTGCCACAAGCCACCTGGGAGACACACCAAACATGTGGAAGAAGGTGCTCTGGTCAGATGAAACCAAAATCGAACTTTTTGGCAACAATGCAAAACGTTATGTTTGGCGTAAAAGCAACACAGCTCATCACCCTGAACACACCATCCCCACTGTCAAACATGGTGGTGGCAGCATCATGGTTTGGGCCTGCTTTTCTTTAGCAGGGACAGGGAAGATGGTTAAACTTGATGGGAAGATGGATGGAGCCAAATACAGGACCATTCTGGAAGGAAACCTGATGGAGTCTGCAAAAGACCTGAGACTGGGGCGGAGATTTGTCTTCCAACAAGACACTGATCCAAAACATAAAGCAAAATCTACAATGGAATGGTTCAAAACTAAACATATCCAGGTGTTAGAATGGCCAAGTCAAAGTCCAGACCTGAATCCAATCGTGAATCTGTGGAAAGAACTGAAAACTGCTGTTCACAAATGCTCTCCATCCAACCTCACTGAGCTCGAGCTGTTTTGCAAGGAGGCATGGGCAAAAATTTCAGTCTCTCGATGTGCAAAACTGATAGAGACATACCCCAAGCGACTTACAGCTGTAATCGCAGCAAAAGGTGGCGCTACAAAGTATTAACTTAAGGGGGCTGAATAATTTTGCACGCCCAATTTTTCAGTTTTTTTATTTGTTAAAAAAGTTTGACATATCCAATAAATTTCGTTCCACTTCATGATTGTGTCCCACTTGTTGTTGATTCTTCACAAAAAATTACAGTTTTATATCTTTATGTTTGAAGCCTGAAATGTGGCAAAAGGTCGCAAAGTTCAAGGGGGCTGAATACTTTCGCAAGGCACTGTAAATGGAAGTGTCGCAAATGGTTCAAAGCTTGATATGCTGTTACAAGCCAGACTATCACTATCCTACCTTGGCTTAATGTTAATTTTGTACTGTTCAACAGTTAGCTGTTAGCTTCCTGATTAGCCTTCTGTATTGATGCTGATGTAATTCTTCTGATGACATGATAGTTCAGAGCTCAGACACACCATTTGTGATGAAATGCCAGATTTTTAAAGGAGTCTGGTGTGAAATCGCTGCAACTATCCTATCCCAGCCCCAGCTTCATAATATTTTTGAGCTCAGGCAGTTGAGGCTGGAGTTTTAAGTAAAAATTTACCAAGTAAAATAAACTTTACTGGCTACAGACATTTTATTATTATGAAGCCAGAATCTAACAAAACTTATCATTGGCTGGTGTAAAATTTTGATTTATTTATTTATTTGCAATAAAGTGAATACAGTTTGAAAGGTCCCTTCCAGTGAACTATTGTCAAAATATTTTTGTGTTGTTAATTTGGCCAGTGATAAAATGCTTGGGTTTAGATTGGTAGGCTTACTGTTTAGGTTGTACCATTTAGTTTTATCCTAATCACTTTGACCTAGTTTTCTTATTCTTTTTAGTCTATTTTTACTCTACTCTTATTCTGTGGTATGGCATTCAATACTAGGTGAGAGAGAAACAGTATGTCAATTTTCTGTATGTCCTGCACATATAGTGAATTGACAATGAAAATCTTTGATCTTGATCTTAATTTTTGACTGAAGTCTGATGTGACCTGGCCCAGTTTAGTTAAGGCTCCAGTTTTGATTCCTAGGTGGTCATTTACAGTAGCTCCTTTATTAGATAAAATAGTAGATTTTCTCAGACCAAAGATTTGTATTTGTGAAATATTTAAATGGTCTTATACTTGTATAGCGCCTTTCTATGCTTTATAGCACACTCAAAGCGCTTTTCACACTTATTGGCCATTGTCATTATAAATGAATTATACTAAGTTAATTAGTATGAGTTATACTAAGACAGGTGCTCAGGTTGAAGCTTGAGTTTATTTCAGATGTTAGTCCAGTTTTAACAAAATTATAAACAGTATATATGTGTAATGAGAGAAAAATAAAACCTGGAGTTATAAAATGAAATATCTCTGAGATTTCATGCATTTAATGACTTATTACCAGCAGATTAGTAAGTTTCGAGCTTGTTATAACAAATTTCTGTTTCTGTGTTTGCAGGCGAGGAATGCTGAGAAGGCCATGTGAGTACTGACTGTACTGCTATAAACCTATTTTTATTCCCTTGCTTTATTCACCAAGTTTTTTAATTCTGGTTCAAAGCGTGATGTCATTTTTATCTTATGTCTGCTTGTAACGCACTTTGGCCAACTTCTTATATAGCACAAGTGAAATTGTGGCTGTGGCTCACGAGGTAGGACAAGTCGTCTTCTGACCAGCACGTTGGTGCTTTGACTCCCGGTCTCCCCGCATGCCTAAGTGTCCCTGAGCAAGACACTGAACCCCGAATTGCTCCCGGTGGCTTGACTAGTGCCGTTGTGTGGCAGCCTGTCATCATCGGTGTGTGAATGTGTGTGTGAATGGGTGAATGTGTGTGTGATCTCCTGTAAAGCACTTTGGCCAGTGCAACACACTGTGAAAAATGCGCTATATAAATACAGTCCATTTACCATTTAAATAAACTTGACTTGACTGCTGAATACTGCTGAGAGCCGCTGTCTGCCGACTACAACGCTGAGTACTACTGAGCACCACTGACAGTGCTGCTGAGTAGGGTTGCAATGGTATGAGGTTTTCACAGTATGATAATCATCTCAGAACATATCACAGTTTCACATTCATACAGTTTCCTCACATGGTTTCCTGTAACTGGTGATGTTCCGTAGGTTCCTCCACACTGCCAAAGGCTCATCGGCCAAACACTGATTTTCAACTTTTCACAGTAGCTCCCTTTTCCTACTCTGATTTCCTTTGTCTGTGTGTGTCTGGCCCGGTAACACAGGGTCCTGTCCCTGCTCATATAGGCCTCCTCTTTGGCACAGCTCACTGTGAACTGGGGTTTGTTGTTGTATGTGCAAAAGGTCTTGGTGGGCACACACATCCTCACAAAACCTGATGTATGATGTCGCAGTATCAGTGTAGCTGCAGCCTCAAAGACACCCCGGTCTGCACAGTGAAAGCAGGCCTGTAGCTGTGACTTTGCCTCCTCGGTCCATCTCCTCCCTGTTCTGACCACAGGCTTTGCAGCTTTAACTTTCTGTCTCTAGGTATTGATGAGATGACTCATGCAGTGGTCTGAGAGTCTGAGGGCTGCACAGGGAACAGAGCAATAGGCGTCCTTAATTACAGTGTAGCAGTGGTCCAATGTGGTTTTGTCTGTGGTAGGACAGCTGACATGCTGTCTGTATTTTGGCGGATTGTGGGTGAGGTTTGCTTTGTTAAAAGATAATGAGCAGTCCGGGTGTTTCTGTTCTGTGTAAACTCCAAACACCTTTCGCTGTTGGTAAAAATGGGAGAAAAGACTGAGCTGTCAGATATTCAGAAGCTCGTCTCTAGTAAAGGTAAACCAGGCAGGGTTGCAGGAAACCGTCAGAAATGGCAACAACAAAAACAAAAGCACACAGGAGCACATAACTGAGGCAGCCCTTCACGGCACCATGACACCATTGTCTTCGGGCATTGTCCTCCACCAGGAGGAACCCAGGGCCCACTGCACCATGTAAGGTCTGACATTCGCTCTGAGGATTCCATCCTGGTACCTCCTAGCAGTCAGGGTACAGCTATGACATGAAGGTCTGTTTGGCCCTCCAAGGATACACCTCACGAGACCATCACTGACCGACCACCAAACCGGTCATGCTCCATGATGTTACAGGCAGCATAATGTTCACCATGGCATCTCCAGACACTTTTCACTGTGGTCACATGTGCTTAGTGTGAACCTGCTCTCATCTGTGAAGAGAACAGGGGACCATTGGTGGACCTGCCAATTCTGGTGTTCTCTGGCAAATGCCAGTCGAGCTGCACGGTGCCGGGCTCTGACCACAGGTCGCACTGGGGGACATCGGGCCCTCATGGCAGCAGTTTTTCTTCAATACTGTTAATAAACAAATGTGCATGGTATGATAACCATCAATTTTCATACCATGACATGCCATGAAACCAGGATAGTGTTGCAACCCTACTTTTAACAGTGGGTTTTCTTGAACTTTATTTATGATTCAACTGAAAAACAAAGTATTTCTTCTACCTAATTGTGATTGACAGTTCAGAGGAAATTACTCTTTACTCTGTATTTATTTTATAAATAAAACTTTGCTACTTTATGTTAACAATCATGCCTGTCATAACCTAAAGAATCACTCAGTCTGCTGGGTTCACCACGACACAGCCGCATCCATTTCACGCGTTTTGTTACATTACTCTTGACTTTCCACATGCAGTAATGAGCTGAGGTGTTGTCAACTCAAGTAATCAACTCTTCAACTGAAAAAATACTCGCACAGTAAAGCGCTGTGACAGAATCCCTTTGATTATTTTGTTTTTCATAGTTGTTGGAATCCACAGTCGTAATTAAAAGTAAAATTTGATTAGTCGCCCACCCCTACTGCTGTGTGTGTGTGTGCACCTGTTTCAGCTGCTGTTTATCTAATGGATCAGTGTTAATGCTCTTATGTTCTTCCCCTGACGGTCTCCTCCTGTTTCTCAGGACGGCCCTGGCTCGGTTCAGGCAGGCTCAGCTGGAGGAGGGAAAAGTCAAGGTCAGATTCATTTTCTATTCTGTTCTACTCTATCACAGTGGTCCTCAACCTGTGGGTCTATACCCCAGCAGGGGTCACAGGTTAAAAACCACAGTGTGGATCCATTTAGAGATATTTCTTCCTTCACCGTGTCTCTTTTATCTCTGGTGATGTTTTTGGCTCTTTTCTGTTACTTCACTGTGGACAGAGCTACTAAAACTAAAACCAGCTGCAGACTCCTGCTAATGTGGACATGAAACTACAGTTTTAAAATTCAGTTCAGTTTTATTTCTGGAGTGCCAAATCACAACAACAGTCACTTCAGGTAGGTACTTTATTGTACAGGACACTTTACAAAGTAAGGTCTAGACCTTACTGTTATCAATATTATCACATAGGGAAAACCCAACAAATCCCC